TCGAATTTTATTCCAATATTAAATTTTCCAAGCATTGTAACAATTAATAGAAATCCATGCTTACGTAATTAAATTTTCAATTCAAAAAAGTTTAAATATAATTCGAAATATATACAAATTCATTCATATCATGTTACATAATCAAAGATCAAACGTTCATGAAATCATTTTACACACTTTTCGGTGTATATATCTTGATTTTGTAATCAAGGCCTTTTTATTTTCAATTTTCTCTCTCTTTTCTTTCCTTTTTTTTTTTTTAAATACGAATACAACATGGCTGTTTTCAAAACTCGTCGAATTCAACAACGCGCGCAACAGACACATGCATATCCTCGGCATGTGTACACCCGAGATTTCAATGCTGGCAACAGCTAGAAATTTATCGAGTTTTAATAAGTATAAATTGCGGCGGGTGGTTGTGTAACCGCCGTGCTTCGATGCATCCCGCGTCGGATGTACGCTATTTTGTAATCATGAGCAGAGCAATGTTTATAGCGATTCTGAATGGGTGGAGGGGAGGGGGATCTTGCGCGGATCTCGCGCGATACACGCTTATTAAGGTGCACGTTTCGTAATACTCGTGGAAAAAAACATCAAACTGTCTTTTTTCTCGCTCTTTTTCTCTCTTCCGTTATGTGGGCGAGTTTTCATGAACCGCTGCCGGAAGCTTCTGGAAACAACTCGCTTCCTCCACGAGGCTCGTGGTAGTAACACATCCATTGCGGCCATTGATAAATTCTATCGCGCGTGATGGAAGAAAAAAAAAGGAAAAATCAATTCGCCAAGACGAGACGAGAATTATTATTATTAATAAATTCTGGGGAGGAGGGGGGGAATTGTTGAATTGTTTATTCGACAAGAGAGGGAAACAAGTTTCCGATTCGATTCGATTAAAGAAAAGCTATTATCTTTTGCAAAATACAATTTTTTCGAATTGATTCGAGGAGAAATAAATTTTATAAGGAAGAAAATAATTTCTGATCGATTGAAGGAGAAAAATTATTCCAAAGAAATTATTCCTAAGAAAAGGACAAGTCTTTTAGTCAGTTTGATTGATTGAGAAGATTTTTTTCTACAAAAAGAACATTTTTTTATTAAAAAAAACATCTTCGACCAATTGAACGAAAAAAAAAAGAAGAAAAAAAGAAAAAGAACGAAAAGAAATAAAAAGACGTAGAATTTTATGGAAATTCGAAAAACAATTTTTTATACATGTAAATTATGCGTAAAAAAAAGAAGGGGGAAAAAATGAGAGGAGAAAAAAAAAAGTAAATAAATTTTTTTTAATAAAATAAAATCACGACTGTTAACGAAGAGGCGTGTATCTCGAAGCGATGTGGCCATTTTTTCGTTGACACCTGCCCATCGAAAGGATATGTATAATTTATTCCCCTTAGGCAAGCTTCCAGGGGAGTACCCGGATCGCATCATCGTGCTTCCATCATCCAATCGATCGAAACACGAAGCGATCCTTCTCCCTCCTCCCCTCCCCTCCCTCCCTATTTTAATCTTCCCTCCATTCCTCTTCTCTCCAATTCCCCTTTTATTCCATTTGTCTCTCTCTCTCTCTCTCACTCGTTCTTAACCAACTTTGGATCCGCGCGAATTGATTTCTCCGAAACATGAATATTCCCGACTTTCGATCTTCTTATTGTGTTAGATTGTTATATCGTCATGGAAGAACGATTCCATCGTTTAATCATATCATAATCATTTTCTTTTTCTCGCTCAACTGTAATTTTTTTCTTCGTCTTTTTCTTTTTTATTATTATTATTTTCTTTTTTTATTTTTATTTTTTTATTTTTTTTTTTTTTCCATTCAAACGAATCCACGCAAGTGAAACGGTTTTGACATTGATTTCTAGCGTGACAACTTCATTAACCTACATCCTGGTTAGAACCAATTCGTGACGTTTCGTTTTCTCAGCGACTTTCATGACAATGGAAACATTTAATCGCTCGCGATTTTCTTGCGGCTGTTTTTTAAAATTTCACTCGTTTTCAAAAAGATTTTGAAATAAATACAACCTATGCACAATTAGATAAGTTTATTTCTTCTCAATGAACAAAAATTTAAACCTGACCTTTACATTCTTTATCTACTTAAAATTTCCATAATACGTGCAAATTTAGATAAAGCAAATTTCATAACGACTTGAGGAGTTGTTTATCGTTACTATTGTGTGTCAAGATTGATTCATAAACACCGTTGAACGAAATTATCATATCTCGTGTAATACTCGATGTATCTGATATATAAGTTTCTATCGATCGGAAATTAAATTTAAAATTTGCATAAAAATTAAATAACTTCAAATAGGCGAAAAAATAAGACGAAATAGTTACATGGCAATTTTAACTGATATATCGATTGTACGAATTAGCAGAAAGGCTAAAAACCTGTTCTTTTTTTTTTTTTTTTTTCTTATTCAATTTGGAATTTAGAATCGAGGCGCCATTTTGTCATGTTTTATGTTTTTGGGAAAGAAAATGAAATTGATAAAATATAAGAACGTGATGTAATGATTTATGGTGGTCATTAAAAGGGCCGAGAAACTCTTATCCATTCTTATCCATAAGATAATAAGTTGAACGAACGAAATGTAACGCTTAATTTTATTCAAGGCTGAACATAAATTAACGATAATTCAATATCGTTATTGATCAATGCATTATTGACGCTACGTGGAAAAATTTTTGTTTTGAGAAAAGAAATAAATTATTATCGATAGACTTATCCAGAGAACGTACAATAAAAAAAAAAAAAAAGGAAAAAAACAATCGTAAAACAAAATTATTCATAGTTATTGAGCATTGTACTTATTGACATACACTTGAATACTGATTCAAAGCGTACACAAGTAAATATTAAAACGTTAATTGAAGAAAAATAAATCTCATCTTGTGTCCATAACACGATTGTCAACTCTGGATATGATATTGTCTTCGAGAAAATAAACTGGATCAATATCTGTTTTAATATTGATAATTTCATAGTTGTTAACAATTCTATCCACATTCGTCATTCATCGCGCATGATCGTACTTTATCGTGCCTAAACCTTATTATTTTTTTCATCATTATGCTTATCCAAAAGGCAAGCAACCGTTGTGCCAATGACTCATCGAGAGTGACAATTTTTTCGTTAAATAACAGGGGGTTCAATAACATTTGTTCTTTTGTAGATTACACAGGAGAGGATTGTCTATTCTTTTATGTGAATGGGTTTTTTGAGTTAGAGCCACTTAAAACTGACGTACTAAACGGGATAAACAGATGAGAATAAATAGAAATTAGCCGAAGTATAATGGAATTAAGATCCTTTTCACGTTGAAATACGAGTTATATTGCTATTTCGCGCTCGTTACCGTATTAAAAATCAACTAATTTAATAAACAAAGATGTCAAAAATCTTATCTTATATATATATATATATATATAATATATACGTGAACGTGACACGCGAGCACGCCGTACAACGTGTTCACTTTTGGAAATGTAAACGAGAAGTGCCGTTAAATTCCAACAAATCATGATTCGAATAACACGAGCAGCGTGTGTTAATTGAATTTATCGTGTTATCTTAATTTTGAAATAAGAACGAAATATATTTCGTTCGAAGATTTCTCAACTTTAGTATTAATACGTGTTTATCTTCTCGGAGAATTGCTAATTAATAAAAACAGCTTTCTTTTTTTCTTTCTCGTTTTTCGAATTATTAAAAAAAAAAAATTCAAAAACGCACAGAAAAAATTCAACGAAAGGAAAATCGGAAGATTCCGATTATGATACGCGAGTTGGGAAAAAAAAAAAATGAAATGATGGGCTTCCAATAGCGGAAACAGAAAAATACAGAGTTTCACTAGCTAATTTCGGTAATGATCCATCCTCGAAAACGATATAGACGATATTTGCTTAATTTTAAGCGACGCGCGTCCAAGGTGTGCCAGTCTCTTCCAGAAGCTTCGAGTGTTTTCTCGGTATAATAAGAAGCGGAAGATTGTTACACGATTAAAATACGATTTCTACACGGGACTTCTTCAACTACATTTCATTCCAAATTTCCAAAATTTTCTCGAATACGATTTCGCGTCCGCCATTCAAGATTATACGCGACGTTAATGAAATCCTTCGGCGTAGGGTATCTTATCATAAGTCGTCGAGAAACGTGTAATTTGTTTTGCGTCCTACATGCGCTTCTTATATGCGTCGTCGTTCGAACACGGCACATATAAATTAGTAATAAATTTCTAAAACTCCTTGAATGAACAATCATTCCTTAATGAACAATTATAAATAGAAAATAATCGTTTCTAATCAACCGCTGTTGTAATATTGATTAATTCGCGCGATGAAATTCATAATTTATAACAATGTTATAAAGAGGATGATTAACAAGCGGTGAATATATTATAAGGATAATGTAATAGTTGGAGAATAATTTTTTTCCTTTCGAAGAAATTACACGATAAATCGTTATCATCATCGATTATGGGTAAACGTCGTGTCAAACCGTGACGGCGATCGAACCCGCACGCAATTATCAATCACGGATAATTTCTCGAAACGAAATTTCCACGTGTTGTCCGATAAATCGACTGTCCAATCGATAAATCGTTAATCGTTCCAATAAAACAAGCATGTGCCCAATGAACGGCTATCTATTCCACTCCTATCCAAGTCATCCAACATTTGGAATAACGCGAAAGTAATTTCAACGAACAATCGTCATTTTCTTATTCTCTCTGCTGGCTGGTTTATTATTATTATTATTTTTTTTTTCTTTCTTTTTCGCGGGATACAATGTGATGGAATAATGCGATAAATGCGATTATTACGAGCGGCATTTGTAACCGGTATTAATGACCGGTCGAACCAGAGAACGAGAAATTAAAGGTCGACGATGGAGAGTGGAAAGCTGCGTGGAAGGCGCCTTTTCGGCCAATCCTGCGCGCCCACCAAGCCTGCTGTACAAATGTGCAAATGTTGGCACTTACCTCGAGAGCGGATCGACGAACAGGGCGACGATGATCACGGCGACGATTACACAAGACAGATAGATCGCGGAGATCTCGTAGATCTCCGATTCCGGGGGACGTTCCAAGGTCTCGTGACCTCCGTTCCCAAGGACGCAGAAATTTGCGCCGCAGTGCTTGATCTTGTTCGAGTTGGTGGTGCTGTTCTCGCTGCCACTGCCGAACTCTCCCCCGCTGAGCACTTTAAACGAATAAAAAAGAAAAAAGAAATGATCGAAGAATTCTGAAGATTCGGAAGGAAATATTTCATACCCGTGTGTTTTTCGTATTTGTACAATCATTTTACTTCTTTTCTCTATCTTTCGAAAATTCTTGTTCGTTTTAAATAATAATTTTGTCGTTACGATAACCTAATATAGATATAGAAATAATTAATGAAGCGGATATTTTTATTATACCAGCTCAATCTTACAAACTGTGACACTTATTAATGATGAACCACATTTACAAAACGAGGTATCGAAAAATCGAGTTCTATTACGCACATTTCTTAAACCGCGTTACATAAAATTCACGTTAAAGGAATGCGAGACCCCTAAACAAAATGCAATCTTATCGCACCGTAAGCATAAATCTCTCAAGGATTTATCAAGATTTTTCCTTAACTTTGCAGCCGATCAAGCCTTCAATATATATATATATATATACGTAACAGTTTATGCATCTGATTACGATCTATCGGCCATCCGTGTCATTAATATTCACCATTTAACGGCATTTAAAAAATTTCACAAGACGCGACACATGACGTGATAAAACCGAAAAGGTTAAAGATAGGGAAGAAAATGTTCTCTCTCTCTCTCTCTCTACAAAAAAAACCGACTCATCGGTCGATCGATAATAAATCGAAGCGAGAGATTTCACCATATTCACCGTTGAAAAAGAAGAAGAAGAAAAAAAAAAATTCATCGTTTTCTCTTGTATCGCGAACGATCTCGTTCGTCAAACGTATAAATATCGTGCTAAGCGGTGATTATACCGCGCCAAAGCGAAACATATCCACGTATTCTGGAATTTACATTGGCCAATCCGCGTGCGCGGTCATCGGACGGCGAACGACAGGAACTTTCACCAGAGCGTCGTTGATAATATCGTAGTATGTTTACAATGTCTCCCACCAACGTTTCCGATTGTCCGCAAGTCCTACTTATCGACTTGTAATATATTCGACTTGTTACGTGTGTGCAAAACCCTGTGTGTACGCTAGGCTAGGAACGCGATTTTCCTGCTCAGAAGAAGTTCAATTTTATGTGTGCAAAGCAATTCAACTGTTCCAGTAATTTCCTCGGTTAAACAACGGGAAACGAACGGTGTTCGTAAAGAACGTATGAGTATTTACGTTCGAAATTTGAAAATCATTTTTAAATCAAAGTTGAATTCGAAAAGTGGAAAAAAAGGTGGGCGATGATGTTTGAATGAAATACGAATGACAATGCGGATCTATATATAGATATCGATATCTATAGATTCATTCTATGATCGATACTTTCGATGAAATGAATAAAAATGTAATTTATTTATCTGTAACAATAATATGATTGAATGGATTGGACAACGATTGGAAAATATATGTTAAGGATACTTGTAATTATATTCCATTTGGAGAAGCTTATTAAAGAAATATGATTGGAATTAATTCCTTCAGGAATTCAAGAAATGTAAAACATATATATATATATATATCTTTATCAAAAGTATACCGTTAATAGACGACAAGCAGAATGCAAATAATAGTTTCGATCAAACGTAAGCCGCGAAAACATAAATTAAATGTAATTAAGAAACATATGCTTAGGAAAAATTATATATTCGCAACAACGAGTCATTATCTTTGTATAGTTATACATTGTTCCATAAATATATTTATCGCGTTTTCATAATCGTGCATTTAAAAAGTCTTTGTACAATCTTTATATCACATATAATATGTTACAAACCATTGTACAAGTCTATCTATTAAAAAAAAAAATCAGCAAGAATTCCCTCTGTTCTAAACGCGAACAATTTCCAGCTCCAACAGTACAAATTCTTCAAACAGATATCGGAAGAAACTCAATAGAAACAGGTTTCAGCAAGGCGCGCTTATAGTTCGTTCGAAATCAATTGACTACGCAAGGCCGTCAACATGCAACCCCTTCTCCATTCCTTTCGCCTACTATAGAACTTTATCTATCTGGATTCTTCTTTATTTTATACTTTTTGTGATAAAAAGATCCAAGAAGAAAATATAAAATATACTTAATTAATATTAAAAATATAAAAAAATAATACCCGTATAACCTCTTTACTTTTTCCATCCATTTATATTTTCCTTAAATTATACGAAAGGCAATATCTATTTCTTAATTTCTTATTTGTACGAATATTATATATCGTAATTATGAATACGTACGATCGTAAAGTACACGCGATGGCCAATATACATCATAATCGATCACAATTTGATCAATCAGTTGATCGAAATTGATGGACATAACCTTAAAAGATCGATTAACCTATTCCATAACCTATAAACATGAAGGAAGAAAGGAAAAAGGGACATAGAGAAAAATAAGGAAGAAAAGGAGGAAGCTACGGTTGTTTGTTTACCTGGAACCTAACTCTCGCGAAGACCTGGACCACGTCGCGCGCGCGGAGTGCAAGCAGAATAAACGGAAGTGCCATTGCCCGCCAGGGAGGAAGCGCCGATTGAACGATTCGAATCATAGAAAACGGTTAAATCCCGCGCTACCGCTGTCCAGTTATCGGGGAATGTGTACGAGGTGGTACGGAAACCGACTATCACAGGTTTATACCGGATAAATCTCGTTTCTTCCCGCGTGCAAAGCGTTTTCCATCACTGTCCCTCGAGCATGCCTGTCTTTCTCGACGAGTCTCTCGCCGGCGTTGTCAGTCAGACCAACTCGAAACCCGAGTGTGTCCATGGAGAACGTTAGTGGCAAGAATTGTCGTGTTGTCGACCTCGTCGGCCGACCGATCGGCCAGCCAATTCGTCAGGGAAAGGAGCGAATATTTGGCCCGACGCGAGTCTCATTGCGCGCGCATTATCACTGCTATACATATACTGCTATGCGTGTAATACGTAATCGCAACGCCATGCGCTGCCTCGACGAGTGTTTCGCGCCCCGAAGAAGGTGTGGATCGGTATATTCTCGATAGGTGATAGATAGAGTGGTGGGGGATAAGAAGAATTTGATCACCAAATTTATGACGGATCGTGTGATATTGACACCGATTCCAACCCGACCTTCGAAAGATTCTCTAAGAATCGTTCGAAGCGTTCTTGGAGATCCTCGAGAAAGATGGGCTTCGGCATTTGCATTTTAAATGCTTCTTAGAAAGGGATTTTTGGGCACGTGTTCAGGAGGATTAATTTATGACGCGGATCGGTAGATATAGAACGGAGGAATCGGTGAATTGAAGATTTTTTTTTTTTTTTTAGGATTGGACTTTTGGTCGTATTGTTCGCCTCAAGGGAACTTCGAAGCGGTTAATGTTCGTGCGTATGAGACACTGTTTAACCTAACGGTACGATTAATTAGAGCCAATTTATAGTATTGGTGGATAGGTACTTTACCGTGTGGAATGTTTTCTGGAATTTTTTCTTACGTTGTTTTCTTGTTACTGTTACTTTGATAATAATGTATATATTTCGGTTTAGTAATTTCACTATCGTTTGATGAATGGCAATTTTTTTTTTAAATATCTGTCAATTATTTTTAGAATTTTATGCAATTTGTGAGCTTTATTTTACGCCATAAATTATATTATCATTGTTGCATACATTAAATTGATAGTAAAAATTTCATAATAATTGTAACTACGATAATAAAATTAATATTTACTGAATTTATAACTAACGGAGATACGAGTTAAATTTCATTGAAAAATTGCTACTTCGTATATTATCATTGATCGTAATAAATTATTATACAGATAAATATATTTAATTCATACAATTCGGTCTTTGATAAGTTTCGTTCATTGACTGCAGCTACATTGCAGCATTATTAATTTCATTCATATCATTCGTTTACTAGCACAAAACGTCAAGAACAATGGATTTTATTACATTAAATTCTTTTATTAAAAGTTCGTTCAATCACCAAGTATCTTACCTTTGAAATTTTTACATTCGTGTTTTTATATAAACCAAAGTTAAGTAAAAAAAAAAAAAAAAATTAACGTACATCTTTCTACCAATGGAAACTATAATCCAAGTTAAATAAGAAAATTTTTGTCTGTATACACATACTTCCGCGCAAGTTTAAACACATGAAAAAATAAAAAGTCTAAAAATAAAATCGGTTGGATTTAACTTAAGAAGGAAGGAGAGAAAAAAGATAAACGAGACTTTGACTCACCCAGCGAAGAAATGAGATTCCCCCAGAGTTCAGCGGTCTGCCAGGCAAGGAAGAAGAACCCGAAGAACCTGACCACGATGGCGTCTACCGGCTGATCGGTGAGTTTCGCGTACACACCACCAACCTGCGTGAGATAGGTGGCCTGAGCTGCCCACATGGGCGCGGCACCCAAGCCAAGGAGCACGCCAGCCGGTACCAGGGTGTAAAATTTCGGATAGAACTGGGACCCGATGTAAGGTGCGTAACACAGCATCGAAATACACAATGTCCATTTAACCGTGAGCCTTTTGATAACGAAGGTGGGAACGAAGATGCATGACAGCACCAATGCAGCGTAAATCGCTGAAAGGGACACGGTGCCTAAACCGTCACTGGCGTTGATCGACGACTGAAGATTAGCCGTGCCTTGAAACGCGGTGAACTGCACCATAAACGCCACGGATACGGTGCTAATGTTCTTCAATATACGCCATTTCTCGCCGCGGGAGAGTTTGAACTTTCTTGATTGCGTGTCATCGTCCGTCGACGATAATTGCGGCGGTTTCTGCGGCTCGGGAGGTATACCGTCGGTACCGTCGTCCTTGTAACCCTCGTTCCTGTAACCGACACCACTTACGGTCACCGTGTACACGGTCTCATCGCCACCGCCGCCTCCACCGTCTCCGCCACCACCGCCACCGACACTTCTGGTACCGTCGTGTTGTGAGGCTACCATTCTACGTGTTTGCTACCTGTAACAAACGATTCAATATATTGTGGTATATGTTCAATTCGATAAATCGAGGCAGGATTTCATGGTAAAAGTAAAAAAAATAAATGCGAAAATTGGTTGTACGATGATATAAAGATGTATATATATATCTTTATATTTGCAGATTTGCTCATTATTTTATAATCATAAAAGGAAGGAAAATTTTAAATATGTAACTGTAACGTGAGAACGTATCGCTATCCTTCCCTCCCCGAAAAAATTCCTTTCCCTCTTGCACGCAACGAACAAGTTGATAATCCCTAAGAAGAGAATTAAGATCCCACGATTTATCAGGGAAGATATTCTAACCGCGAGATTTTATAGTTGGAAACCTGGCCTCAGCCAACGAAGACGAGATATTTTCGTTCGAGGTGCAGAAAGAACGTCTCGTATATTATGGGCTGATAGTTATGGACGGTGGCGCGCGCGTGCAACAGCGCGTATTTTCTGTAAAAGCGATTTATAACGGATCGTTCATTGGTATGAAGAGGCGTGCGAAGACCTCGTCACGAATCGTGCAGTTTAAAGGGAATGGTTTTCTTTTTCTTCTTTTTTCCTTTCTTACTTTTTACTTTTATTCCTCTCTTTCTTTCTTTTTTTTCCTTTCTTCTTCTTCTTTCTTTTTTTTTTTTTTTTTTTTTTTCATTTGGAAAGGCCTTATTGAAGCGTTCGCGAATCACGTTCCAGTTGCGCTTGTAAATTCGTTTGTCGTCGATGTAATCGATGGGAATGCGTGACCGGCCGTACAATGCCGTGACACGTGTCGTACGGCGTGCATCGCAATTAAGCGGCGCTCGCAATACCTTCACCTCGTTCGCTAACTCTTTCTGCGCGCTCTGATCCCCCTCGCTCTTCCCCTCCCCCCCATCTTGATTTCATTGGCAGCGTTTCTCAAACTATGTGCGAATTTACTTGACTTTCTTCCGCCCCCCCCCCCTCCAAACACGCTTGTTGTTTACGGCAAAGAGAATACCATATCGAGGCCTGCAGAAGTTAAAGGATAATTTTTGCTTCATACGGGGAGGCCTGGCTTGGTCAAATCTTGGTCGAATTGATTGGTTCAATTTGATTGAAACTTTTGAAAGATTGTTAGATAGAATCGATAGTGAAATATACATGATAATGTATAGATGATAGAAATTCGATTAATAATGTAAAATTGTGTTTAAATTGTACTTCTCAAAACGTTGACTTGTATCACTATCCTTCCTACAAGGGAGTACAAGTTTGATTAAAATTTAAAAAATCCAATTGTTAGAATTCATTATTCTATTTATATTAAGAGCAGATATTTAATATTTATATACTTCTTGATACTAATTAATCATTGTTAAATTTCATTGTGTATTAAGCATAATTAAATAAGAATCGCAATAGCATCGAATTTAAATTAAAATTAAATATTTTTTGAGATTTTATTATTTATATTTATTTTAAGATTCGAAGATCTTATATTTTTCTTGTCATTTCGTGTCTATATATAAAATATTCCATGAACGAACGAACGACTATTTTAAATTATGAGATGGAATTCTGATGACTTTCTAAGCACGATAATCGTTAAGCATATGAATACACGCTTTAAAGAATCTTCACGATGAATATAAATTAGAAAAAGAGTGGAATCACGCTATATGTAACAAAATTGAGAGTGAGATTAATTAAAAAATAAATAAGTTTTTGCAATAACAAATGTGACTAATAAAAATAATAAATTGATAAATTATTAATTAAAATTAATAATAAATAATAAAATATGAATGCAATAAAAATAATTGTGAAAAAATTATCTTTTTTACATAAAAAATTTTACATTTTTTTCTGAAAGTTTTACTATAGTATTATATATATATATATATATATTAAATCTTTATTCAATAGATCCAATTTATTCAACAATCGCAAAAACAGTATACATAATAATATGCATACGACCTATCTTAAAACGATCAATTCGTGATAATTATGCGAGAGAAGATCACAAAAGAAGAATAAGTAAACCTTGGTTTTATTATGGTCGTTAATCAAGATCGAAGCAGTTCGCGGAAGGCGAACATGCGCACGAATATACAACGAAAAACCTGTCAAGTTTAAAATAAAAACCTTTCCCGCCATTTCGAAAGGTCGCGTTTCCTCGTACTAACGGGTAAAACATGGATAAAACGCGAGGTTCACGTTCCTTTCCATGCAGGGCGTTCTTTTCTTTTCCTTTTCTTTTTTTTTTTTTTTCTTTTTCTAGCGAAAGACAAAGCTACGGAAAAGCAAGACGAAAAGACATAACTAATCTTTCTGTTGCATAACAAGAATACCGCCGTACCAAGCAAGCAAGCGATACGAGAATTCTTCGTTTCGTCCTTCGAGAAAACATGTCCGAAGAGAAAACATGTGAGAATTGTTTTCCGTTGAAACGCGTGGCTTTCGTACAATAGATACAAATGAAAAATCTGACATTTTTTGGAACAGGTGCCGAAGATTTTTTTACCAAAATTTTTTTTTTTTCTAAAATATATCGTATTATAAAATTTTTATAATGTATATATGGGATATGAAATTAAAATTGTAATTAATTGAAAATAATAATTTCGACAACCTATTCCTATAATTTATTTGCTGATAAATTATAAAAACTATAAAAAATTCTTATTACACATCTATGTAATTATTAAATTGTAAAAGTGATAATTAAATTTTAAATTCAAATTATTAAAAAATGTAAAAAGAATAAAGATTTATTGATTTTCATTAGAATATTGTCGTTAACAATTTTTATTTTTTTAACAAAACGCAATAAATGTCACTAAAAACAAACGTGAAACATCGAAACGAAAATTCTATAGTTCTTTCCAAACGGAGTGGCGCGCCGCCATATTTACACCAAGGAATATGGTTATACGCATCGAAAAATCAGTCTATCTTCGGTATGCGTAATTAAGTATCGTCGTACGTGTAGTAAATATGCGTAACTGAATTCTCACTTTTATATCGATAGCACAGAAACACGGTTTGCATGACCCTGACTTACTTGAACACGATTCGGCCACCAAAGTGTAGTACCACGAGAACAGAATACCCACCCTAACCAGTTCCCAACGACCTTCAACTCTGCTTTAACCGCGGATCTTGTTGTACCATTTCTCCTCTTCTCTTGCAAACAAATGGACGCTGTATATCGAGAGAACGAATCTATCGATGCTTCCAGTCATCCATTTACTATCCGACCGTTATGAATTTCATAACATGTTAATATCGAACATATGTTTCGATATTTTTTATCCCATACTTCGTCAATAGTGCAAAAAAAAACAAGATTATATATATTATACTATAGTATAATAGTATGTTCGTAATATATGTATATAGCAAAAACGAATATGTAAAAGAATATTTATATCATTGGATTTTTAAAACATTTTTCATTTTCAATCGTCGATTATAGAAAAGAGAGAAGGAAAGCAAATATGGAGGAAATATTTGACGACGGTTTCTATATATGAAACATGTAATTAATTGGCACTCTTTTCAACGAATCCGGCTCGTTAAAAAAACAGAAGTTGTCCACGGTGTTAATCGTCAGCTTGTATATCGGGTTTTAATACCTCGACAGACAAGCTTCTCTTTTTATTCTTGGAAGGTGTATAAAAATTGCATTTAAAAGCATTCTCAGAAGCTATGGTAAAAGAAGCCAATTTCCGTATCTTGATTTTTTATCATTGACCGGCTAGGAAACCAGCTTATGCTAATGACATCCATAAAACGATCTTCTGCAAGCTTCGATTGCATTACGCATGTATACGACGTAACAAACTATTATCAACTTTTAGCATATAAACATAGTTTAGAAGGTGGAAAGGGGTGCGCGTGCCTTGCCTTGAATTAATTGGAGTGCAAACGACGAGGTCAAGGTTCGATAAATGGCTTTGGACGCTATTCAAAATTTCCCGCCTTTTCTCCGCTTACCATGACACTTGCTCTTTATTCTTTCCTTATACTTCTTCAATTTTACTTTCTTTTTTTCTTCAATAAAAATCAAATATTTTTTATCGATCTTACATCATTTTAGATGATGTCAGACGTGATTAAAATATTTACTCTTTAATGCAAACATCTTGATCGATCGTGATGTCAATATTTTTATCGTTTTTTATTAGAGAAGAAAATTCATAAATATCATTGAGAAAAATCGTATAAATTTATATATAATAATTATCTTGTTTTCAATAAAATACTTTGGAATAATATAATATATATCTTTCTTATATGTTCGATGTATAAAAATTATATCAATATAATTAAATAACTATTAATATATAATAACTAATAATAAAAAATACACGAAATTAAAATTTATCATTTATATCACGTAATAGAAAGGCTTCACTATAAGTAAAAAATATTTTAATTATAAGGCTTTTAACCATTCGAGTAATTTTCGACATTTTAAACATTATTTCGATATTTATTATCGAATACAACCTAGTTTTTCGATAATTTTTAATATTTTTTAAGAATTATTTTTTTATTATGTAATTTTCGATATTATATAATATTATACATTTATATTATATAATTCGATATTATATAATATTATATATAATAATATGTAATGTTTAACCTAGTTTTTTGATAATGTATAACCTAGTTTTTTTTATTGAGATCTTATCAATAAAATTATCGATCTATAATGTTTAAAATCTATATTTAAATATACTATATTGATATATTGTAATAGATAATGGAAATATGTAAATAAATATACAATATTTTTACCTTAGAGTCAAAATTAATTTTTCCAAATGTAGATGTACATCTTTTCACTAAGATTGTGAAAACAAATAATTTGTAACCTTTTGAAATTTATTTTCGCAATAAGTTCCAATATTTATTTATGACACATTTCACAGTTAATTAAAAAAAATAGGAAAGTGATAAAGTAAGTAGATAAAAAGTCGTAATAATAACATGATTAATGCAAAAGAAATG